GCGATTTATTAAAACCGATTACAAAACTAACCCGACGCCTGACTTTGCACTTGTTTTATCGCTGCCGGTGCATTTTATACCCTAAAATGTTATGATGAAGCCGATAATAACTCTTTATTCCCCCAATAAAACGTAAAGTGATCGTTTTAACATCTACTTTAGTTATAAGGCGAAGGTTCGAACTACCCTGCTCATAATAACCTTGATAGATTTTAGGGAAAGAAAATATTTCTCTTTGTAGTAAACGAAATTTTAAAAAAGTCTATTATGATATGCTGCTAATAGCTTGGTAATAAAAAATACTTTACCAGAAACGCCAATGAGAATTACGATAGCTATGAAAACGCTATCAGCTCGAATGTCATTATAATGATGCTTGGCATACATGTGCATATTTACAAATTTTAAAAGAATATGAAGCTAACTATCGCCCCACACTACTAATCCTTTAAAATACAGCAGTTTTTATAGCGGGTAGCAAAGGCACCTGTTGGGAACCGCCCTCGCGGAGCGAATACAGCCTTCATAATCGAAGATAATCATTGACTACAATAACTGTCAAAACGACACTAAATATTGTTTGTTAAATGCCATAAGCTTTGTATTTTTTGTAACGGTCAACACCTTTTGGAACGTCTCACAAAGGAGTAGAAGCTGATCGAAAGGTGGGCCAGGTGGAAATGTTAACATTCTTTTAAATTGTACTTTATTCTTGCTTTAATATTCAAATGAGGAATTGTAAATTTCCATCTACATAACCTCAATGATTGTGCCTCGTGCCTGAACATATGGACGCCGGAAATTTGAAATGTCGTAAGGAACATTTTGTCGTAAAGAGAAATGTCCCTTAAGACAAAATGACCCTTACAATATTTGAAAATTCGATACATCAAGAAAATTATTAAATTCACACCAACATCAACAAAATTACTGCCTTTATCTTCCCTTACGACAATATGTCCGTTACGACATTTGAAATTTCCAACTCTCATGTATATGTTCAAAATGTTTAAAACTGACATTGTTCTTTTAATATAGGTATACGAAACATTAATTGACGACAATATTTATTTAATTAATTGTTTTGCGCTAAACGTTTAGTACTATGGTACAAATAACGAACTTAAGGTTATAAATTAGAACAATTAGTAAGGCATTATCTACCAATCGATCATTGAGGTGAAATGTTTAGTTCGAAAATTATTAGTTCTACTATAGTAACATTATACAAAATATATTGAGTCTATGACTTTTTTCTTAACCGTTTTTAAGTAGCTAAAATAATCTCAGTACAGAGTACTCAAAAAATCGATCTCAAAAGTTCGTGGAATTACATCTATTTGCTAAGTTTTCGAAAAGAAATCGGTTACCGGAATGTGCGCGAAACCGGATGCATTCCCTAGTTTGCCACTCTTGGAGGTGGAATAGTTCCTTCAAATTTAAATGGGACCATTACCGAGGTATCTTTCCAACAAAAAAGAATCATCAAAATCGGTTCACAAATTAGCCGGAGTTATCGCGTAACATACATGGAAAAAAAACACACAGCGAATTGAGAATCTCCTCTTTTTTTGAAGTCGATTAAAAATAAGAAGCGATGACAAATGTTGATATAGAGTTAAGGTATGCAATAGTAAGTACATAGCAATAATAATTATACGTGTTTACCTCGACATGACCGACACGGCTGCGCGCATCGGCCGGTAATTGGCAAGGTATTAGAAACCGATAAAAACCATTCCCGGCGATCGCTTAAATTATAAATACTAACGATTTACGTTGACTTTTTTCCCATCAATAGATATGGAGGCAAAATATTAAATTTCGCTCCTGTGACTTAGTATTCCCGTTGAAATCGTTTAGAGAAACACAGAGTCAGCTAAATCGTAAAACTCCTAACCTCCATTATTATGAACTTTTGAGTAGGCACAAAAAGCAGAATCAATCAAAATAATTACATAACAATCTATGATTATACGTTTATTTTATAACTAAAAAAGAGCTGACGAATTATATTTTAAGCTTTAATTGCCCGATATTGCGCTTGAAGAACAAGTAAGAGGTTTTTTCTAAAAACGGAGTTACAAGGTTTTCACATTTTAAAAATTTAGATCAGTTTTAGTACCAGTAGAACTCCTCGTGAAAGAGTTCGTTCAGCTACTACGTATTTCTGCCGCCAAGCAGTAATATGAGCATTACTGCGTTTACGTTTTGAAAAGTAAGGGTGCTGATGAAATTACAAGCACATGAGACGTTTCAACTTATGCCTCAGGGTGACGGGCGCAATAGCAGTGCCTCTTAGATCTTTGCGATTTAAACTCTGAGGGGCACCGCAACAGTACTGTAATAAAAAAAATTAATCTAAACAAGAATCGAAGTTAATGCATGCAGTGGCAGTGCCACTCAGATATTTGCGATTTAAAGCTCTCAATGGCACTGCAACTGATATGGACAGGCGTGTTGCTTAACACCAGGCGCATGAGATGTTCGTCCTGTCACTTGGCATCAAAAAAAAAGTAATAAAACGGAATTTAAAACTCTGTCTCGCTAACTAATACCTACAAGGAATATAATTCTTTCCATGACACTGGTAATAAGTAAAGCCGCAAAATGATTTGCAATAATGTTGTTAACACTAAAACGAGCTACGTAAAAAAGGAACCATAAGGTCCTGACCACTCAAAATTTGGTCAACGGTCAACGTTATTGTCGGAGAGACTCGGCATAAATCGTGCACCAGTTAGTTCTTTAACAAAGTTAACTGGCAGTAAAGTGGCCGCTTGTAAATCAAAACGACCGATCGAAAAAATGAAAAAAGTAAACAAATCGAAACAAGACCGACACTTCTCGCGAGGCTCGACGCGCTAGTGATGTACAATTTACATGATCAAATACATCGATAATTGTTTAATAGCTTAGTAAACACATTCATTCAATCATACATTCATCAAATCAAATGGAGATTTAAATTACATTTCCGCAAAAGAGTATTCATAGCAAAAATACATATGGTATCATAGTACATTCGAACCTTATGAGTAGTTATGAGCATAAGTAGAACTAGAACAGGACTATTGCAAAAACTAACCAAAAGTTAAAATATGAGGGACAAATTTTAAAAAAAGTTTTATTAAATATTATAGATAAGATAAAAACAATCCCAATATTACTTACATTACAATAAAATGATCGTAAAGAAATTAAGGATAGCTATCAGAATCGATAAATATACCGACACTGTGCCGGCACGGGGCCGAGGCGATTTGGAAAGGAACGGATTGTCCATCGCAATAAAAAAAGATAAAGCGTATTACGGGATGTCCGGAGATAAGGGGCCAGTTTATGTTTTCATATTAAGTTTGTCATAAAAATGAATGCTGTATTACTGTACCACATTTTACTGCCATTCGACTTCTTTGTTGGTTTAACAAAGTTTAACATTCTAATTTTAAAAATAAAGTTTCAACAAAAATGAATTGTCGAAAAAAATTAATAGACAAAGGATTGTAAAGCAATTTAAAAACATGGTCCGACACCCTCCCCTATGAAATTTGTCCCTGATATCCCATTTTGATTGGACGGGTTGATTTATCTCTTGTTTAGACATCAATGTGTAGATTACGCGTTCTTGATACTTTTGTTTATTATAAAAACAAACATTTTTCAAGAACTTACACTAATAAAATGGTAAATTATGCAAATGTAAATTCCTTTCTCAGCCGCTCGACCCTTCTGTGGGTTCAAAGGCGTCATCCATTATTATTTAGACGTTGACTCGTACGGTGGCATGTCACTCATTTTTATCTATATTTTTGTCGTTTAATTTCAATACAAAAGGTTAGTGTTATACTTTTTCCGACCTTAATGACGTATCAAAATGTGTCAGTCGCGTTAATCGCAATAGGTGGAACAATAGCAAGTTTTCCCCAGAGGTCGGAATCCTCTCCGGGAGAATACTGATACAGTGATTTAGACTAACTGCACTTATTGCGATACAGGGAGCTCCCTCCGATTCAAATAACATATGACACGAGACTAATAGCAGGTTTATTCTCATTGTAAGCACTTGGACAGAATAACTTTTAATTTATTCTTGTAAAAAGTGACTGACGGCGGGTCATGTCAAAGTAACAAGCCTCAGCCAATAGTTTCACCCGACACCTACTAAAACCTGTTCACAAGTCGAACTATGAAAATGGAATCTTTTATCGCTTACTATAACACGGGCTCGCAGGTAATAAATATTGCCATTATTGAATAAAAATATGGTCATAAACAAAACGTTTATTGTTGTCCATAAAAACTCTGCAATAAATATCGGATTATAAAATGGACAGCATGCGTGTTTAAAACTATATACTAAAATGTGCATGAAAAAGTGTGGAATAAAGTTGTGATTTTAATATTGCCAAGTCTGCGGGAGTTGCTCTATGGCAGCCGACGCGAGGGGTCCCGGGATCGCATACAATGCCAATTTTCCGCTCACCGCCACCGACTACGCAATTATTTAGATAAACCTCTCGGCGTGACTATAAAAACATCTTCCCCTCCCCCGCGCGCTGTTTGTTGTCTTTTGGGGCTTTACAAATTTATAGCCCCGCATTACGTCGACGGTTAGAAAAAATGTACTTTTAATTTATCTCGTTAAAGGGTTGAAGTACGGCTGGGTTCGCGAAGTAATTATTCCGGAATTGGCCACTTTGGCTGATGAATCCATTCCGTTGAACCCTTTGTTCGGGGGTGATTGTAGAGTGAATTAATTTGTCCATGACTTGATCTTTGAGTTGTGAAAGATTGCATTACTTTGATGAACAAGATAATTCATTAGAAAAACGCTTTCGTTCAGACTCGTGAAAATGTTGTAAATTTTAAAATTATCACGCGATATCATAAATGGTACACCATAAAAAAATACAAAAAGTAAAAATATCGTAACGTACCTAGAGTTAAGTCGATATTTTTAGAATTTTGATATTAACTAGCAGTTGTGCATAACTTACCTTCCAGTTTTAGTGATGATCATCTCAGTACCAAGATCGTGAAACTTGTCCCACAACTCCTTAGTCTCGAGCTGACAATCAACTGAGAGCAGCTCCTCGCAGTTGCACGATGTAGCCGGGGGCAGCGGCCGCGCTGGCGACGGCGTGTCTCGCTCGCCTAGTTCTGTGGAGTACCGCTACGTAACGCATTGAAGCATACACACATTCGATTTTATACTTAAACAAATATTATACGCAGACGCAGAGGTCCCCGGGTTCGATTCCCGGGCCGGGAGAAATATTTGTATGGCCTACATTTATTTCTCTCGTGAGTTTGGGTGTAATTTGTGGTTGTCTATGTGTGTGTCCATGGCACCCGCGACACAGGGTTTCCCTAGTGCGGGGCTATTCAACATAGCGTGTGTGCGTTATTTATTATTTATTTTATTTATAAAGTCCGTGTATTTATCAGTTAGGATATCTGTACTCCTTATAATACCAGCTGCGCGTAAGTTACTTTTAACATTTATGTTATTAGATCACCGTCGCACTAGAACTCCCTGCGAAAGAGTTTGTCCAAGAAAGCACTGCCACGATATTTATTTAACTTAAGAGTCGATACTACCTCAGGTCGAATTCAAATTTTTCCCGTACTAATACGGCTCATTTTGCTTGGGTCGAGCGACAGGGATACTGGCTTTATTTCAGAATTTATTTTCTTGCAAACGAATTTAAAGAAATTTTAAAATATATATCGTATAGTATACGTGTTCCATTTAGTTGTGTTGATATGAAAAAAATCAATGGCATATGTACTCTATTGAATACAGCGGTTTTCTTGTAAAATTTCGAGGTAAGTTTGTGTTTTTTTTCTATAGTGATAATTTTTAGGAATCGTGTTTTCACACCGTACTAGTAATCAGTGTTTGTCCTCTATTTTACTATATATTAGTTCCAATGTGATTGTTCCAATGTGATTGTATTAGTTCCAATGTGATTGTTCAAATGTGATTGTATTAGTTCCAATGTGATTGTATTAGTTCCAATGTGATTGATGCAACACTTTCACTGTTATGCCGAATTAACCAAAGCCATTTGAGGTTGTATAAACTCTTGTAGTAATATGAACATTACTGAACAGGAGGACTTACCAACATTATGTCGAGAAATACAATGAGTACGACGAGTGCAGTGGCAGTGAACTACTTTGCGATTTAAAGCACTGACTGGCATTGCGACTATTGTAGGCAAGCGTGCCGCTTACCACCAAATGCAGGATTTGTTTGTCCCATCATTTGATATCATAAAAAATTCAATCTGTAACCTTGAGCCAGTACAGTGCTATTTCGTTTGTATATTATAGTTACACTACTATTTTACTAGGTAATTTTTGTCATCGAAAGATAAAGCCCAAGTTCCAAATGTTCGTGTACCATACAGTGCCCGAACAACTGAAGAAAAAAAGTGTCATTTTCTATCGATATAGACACAAACAGTGTTTGACGAAGTGACACTTTCACTTCTCAACTTCATCGGATTCATAGAAGAAAGAGAATTAGGTTCACCGACAAAAGTGCACTTATTAGTGGCGAAACAATGCCTGCCCAACCGCTAAACCGGATTAAGTTTTATGTATTCGCGTTATTGCAGACATACGGGGCATATCATCGTTTTCTACACGCACTCAATCACTGCGCCGGCGCCGACACCGGTGAGAACCGAACTGAATGTATGAGAAACTTTGTTTATTATGCTAATACGGCTAATAACCTTGCAATAATCACGACTTTAATTTACTTTTTTGCCTCGCAGTGAATAGATATTGCTATGATCAAAAGAAATTATGTTGTAGAGATAAATACATGCTCTGTATAAGTTTGATAATGGTAATGTAAGCGCTCTACAAGATAAGATAGTAGCAAATTTGTAATTGCATAGGTTGTGGTCGTCATGCGTCATGGAAATGTGTAAAGGAAGGAATACTTTGCGTACGCTACGAACGTGTCTTATTTACAAACTTTTAGTCAAATTAGTACTTTTATCAAATTACTATGCTTATTATATAGACTGAAACGAATCTCTATTTATAGTCAGCCAAATGGGTCGATGCATATTGTAATGGCAGACAAAAGAAGAATTCTATAACAGCTTTTTTCAGTCCAAAGTTCCATTCCTTTCTTGTAACCCTGGGCGACTATTAGTTTAGGCATCACAACCACACTATTAGGTTCTACGATTAATATAGCTTGACTATGAAGATTGTTTCCTTTTTTATTGTTTATTTTAATATTATCATAGCTTCATTTGATTACTTGTATTGTATTATATTAAGTTATAGTCAGTGATCGTAATTGAAGGAGTTGATTTACCTAAAATTTGACCGTTTTCTTAGTATGGACATGCCCATTTCATGACGTAACCCGGGATTCACATTACGATATCAATGCATATTAAATTTAGACGATTAATAAATTTAATATACCTAGCCATAACATTCAGTTTCATATAAATGTATTTATTCATTATAATAATTACAATGTTTGTACTAAAGTAAGTGTTCTCTCAAAAGGAGTAATACGTCGAAGATTGTTGAAATAAATAAGATACACGGTGTCCGGGTGTTTGGTGAGTATGTAGTATCTTTCAAAAAATTCAAGACTACTCTAGACCTTGGGAAGATTTACGTCTTAGCAGCTGCTGTTATGTTAAAAAACAAGTTGTCAAACAATAGAAACCTCCAATATTTGATAACGGCAATAGTTTCTATTGTTTGTCTTATCTTGTACCGTGTGAAGTAAAGGCTATCTCTAGATAGCCTTTACTGTTTTCTATGCAGTGTGAAAGAGAAAGCAGTTACTTCTTTCTTCAACGAATATACGTAAAGCAGTATTGTAAAATGTTTCGCTAAGTAAGTCGCACCTATAGAAACACAACTATAATATTATTTTTGAGACAATAATTGACAATAATTTAAATAAATTTATTTTTTCCTGTTGAGCAAATACGCAATAAGAAACGATAATTTGTGGTCCACGTACTCAAATATATCAATAATAGACATATTCAAATATAATCAGTTCTGACAAGTATTTGTGGCAATGTCCACATTATTCTTTACGTTAATCGAATTTTACGTTATGTAACTCCCTCAATTCGGATAAATGATTATAATAAAATAAATTTATCTTACGAGTATCTATGTTATCCTTAACTATCAGCGAGTAATTTACGCTGATGGGCAAATTTCACGGTGATGGCAAACATTGTTAATATATGCCAGCGATACGATAAGCAGAAGAAAAATCCAAAGTTCTTGGCCCTGGATACCACTATCAGACATGGCCGAATATATCAAGTTTCCCTCGGTACATTGTTGTCACTGCTAGTAAATAAACTGAAATGATTTACCAGAGGAAGGAGCAGGTGAGGGGACAGCGTGGTCTGAAGTGTCCCTTTCCCCATCGGAACACTGTTCGACGTCGACTTCCACGTCCTCGTCAGGTACAGGCGAGCGACAACTCGACGCCGGCGAGCTGAGCGACGCGGGTGAACTTTGTCTCGACGCTGAACCTAGTATTAAAAGTGATTAATAGAAATTTATATAAGATAATAGTTATTTGTTATACAAGGCTGCAAACTTGTTGTTTGACGCGAGTGCTTGTATTGAAACCTGAGCAAGCGAAGGTTGCCAAGATTTTACCATGAGCGAAACGAGACTATTAAAAATTAAATCCTGCGCATAGCGATAGTTTCAAGACACGAGACGCAAAACAACTTTGCTGTCGAGCGAAACACAAAACTTTTCACTTCTTTATAGCGAGGAAAATGGTAGATGAAAGAAAAACAGTTGAACTTACAACAACTCAATTTATATATACTAAACAAAATTAGTCATCGTTGTCAATTTAATGTCAACATAAGCGTTTATGTGCGCAGATTTCTAATGAGAAAGAAGAACGCCTTTCCGAGGTAGTTGGGACAAAAATAAATTTATTACATTATAGCTCTAAACAATCTAAATACAAGTAAAAGTTGCGAAAGCGTTTGTCCAGGGAAGATTGTCACCTTACCAGTAGAAATGGTAATGACCTGTAATAGTAATATGAGCATTACTGCGTTCCGGTTTCGAAGAGTAAGGGTGCTGGTGAAATTATAGGCACATGGGACTTGTCAACTTTACGTCTCTGGGTGACGGGTGCAGTGGCAGTGCTTTCTCAGATCTTAAAACTCTGAGGGGCACTGTAACTGATAATAGTGACATGCGACATAATAATATGCGACATGTCTACCCTTATGGACGTAGACGTGTCGCATATCACCACCGGGGCACGGCTTGTTCGTCCCATCGCTTAATATAAAAAAAAAAGAAATTATTATTGTTACAAATTTCGATCATACATAAAAAAAAACACAATACAACATAGCCACGTAGAGGCAACAGACGCTGGTTCGAATTTTTCTGTATTAATTCGATCTTTGTATCAATAACATAAACAAAATGCTGGAGTTTTTTTTTGTACGAAATATATACATATCACGATACCTATATGGTAAAAACCATTAAATACAGTAGAAGTGATTAGTTAGCGTCAGACGCGTACCAACTATAGGTCAAAACAAAAATATTACCTGTGGTGGTATTTCATATCATCGGAGTCTTATTTTGATAAATTTTCAATTTTCTGTTTATCGAAATAATTTTTTTGTTACAAAAAACGAAAGTAGAGCTTATACCTGCAATATGGTCGCTTCTTGTTTGGAGAACTAAATTAATAACTCCAATTCGTCGTCGTTCAGCAATAAACCGCTAGGCAGCAGCACATTGATTGAAATGTCAATATAATATCAAAACGTGGTAATTTGTAATAATAGGTATTGAATTTCAACGACATGTCGATAGGGTAAAGTTGAAATTATATTAACAATCCAGAATTTGATACACTTCTTTTTAAATTTGAAACTACGACCAATCAATATTAAAATTTTGTAGTGTTTCAAATTAGAAATGTGTGAGTTTTCACGACATCAGTTCTGATAGTAATCGAGGCTTAAAGCACGTCCATTGTTTTTTCTTCCATGGTAAAAAAAAAACACGATATTCAATCAAAATAAAGATATAATTACAAATATAGGAACCCATGATAATATTGAGATAAATTATAAAAATTGGAGCCTCAATTTTTATGTAACTGTCTCTGTAGTCGAACGATTGCCATGCTGGTCTGCTAGGCAAAGGCCCCGGGTTCGATTCCCGCGCCGGAAGAAATAACTGTATGGCCACATTTATTTCTCTCGTGAATTTGGGCGTAATTTGTGTGCTTGTCTATGTGTGTCCATGACACCTGCGAGACAATTTCCCTATTGTGGGGCTATAAGTGTGTGCATTATTATTATATTATTATACAATCGTCATAAGGCTATGCAATTAAATATTCGAACTCTAATAAATACCTAGTTGCGATGTAAAAACTAAATATGTGTTTTAGGCATCATGTTTGCGCATTCTCTAGTGCTTAAACTTTCTTAACAAGCTTATCTAATATTATAAAATGTAAAATGTGAATGAAAATATTGTCATGTCCAACTGGGCCCAAAATGTACTAAATACTGTAAATCTTCGTCTCTCTAAATATAATTTACAATGCCCTACAGGGTCCATAATGCGCTGTTACCTTAGGCTTTAAGCCATCCTAGTCCAACATTATGGTAAATGCAATTGAATTGAAAGAATTAAATAGCGATATTTATTTACCAATGAAACAATTACTTTTTATAATATAAATATGAGATAAATTCTAGCAAGCCTTCGGTATCGTCGTAAGTCATTCTTAAGCCAGGATTTAACGGTCTTTTTACATCTCGTATTTTATTCATTCATATTTTAAAGGAAATTAATTAAATATAGGTAAGTATTGTATTGTTTGTGTTCTTAAAATGCATTAAAAACTAAAATAGTACACATATCTGAACTTCTACGTTCTTAGAAGCGATGACTTTTATTCGAGGCGCGGCCGTACAGCCTATTCACATTCTTAAAATGACTGCCTCAGAAAAAATTATAAGAAAATTCCATCGTAAAAAAATTTACTACGCCTTACCCTCATTGATCAACTACTGAAAATATATAACAACTCGAAGATACTTCGCGGTCAACAAAAGACTTATTGAAAAACCCTTCATGACATAAGAAATAAACTATATAACAACAGGCACTTAGCGTCTTTTCCATTAAAATACTAGTATATGAAGAGGCTGTACGGTGGAAACTTTGCCTTCTAAAACAAATGACTGAATTTTTTTTTTATTTATTAAGGTTTTGGCAAAGCCTAAACATCAGCCTAAACATGAATTATTATAATTATTATAGAGTTTTAATGAGTGAAAACTTAAGTATATATAATTACTAGCTGGGACTTAGTGTGCGTAGAATAAATAGTTCGTGTACCCTATACATATGATTGGTTCTCCATACAAACTTTCATCCCCTATTTCTTTTTTTTCACCCCTTTTAATATTTTTGTGACAAAATGTAGCCTATGTCCTTCTCCTAAAAAGGTCCAATCTAACCAGGTATATACCATAATTATAAGGTTTTTATAAAAAAACACCGACCTCAAAGGTTCGTAAAATTACGTCTATTTGCCAAATTTTTATTGAAATCGGTTACTGGAAACTGCGCGAAACCGGACTCATCTTAGAGTTGGAATATTTTCTTCAAATTTAAATGGGACCAATTCTGAGGTACCTACCCTATTTCCAAATCATATATACAAATAAATACTGTAGGGTTCAACTTTGGCATTTATAATATTAGTTTGTATTATCAATGATAGTTACTTAGCGTCATATTAGAAATAAAATTGCATCATACGCGATGAGTACTGCAGACCACACATGAATTCCAACTCATGTAGTTGTAACTCCTGTAATTTAAATACAACAGTGGTTACATCACGAAGAATGTCATCTAAACAAGTATTGAATGAACATAATAGTTCAATGCGGCTATAATAAATTACCTACGTCCGCCGTTTAGAGTTTGATGGATCTATGCACCGATAGCTGCGACTGCGCAGGTCAAACTTTCGTAATGGAGATGAATTATCGACAACTATGTCCTTGATTGAAATGCTAACCTATTTTTGTTCATATAACAAATGTTGATATTACAGTCTCGTAATTAGTCAATGGTCAGTAATCTATATACTCAATGTACTCATGATCATCCCATCCAATCAACCCATTTATACGTTCCACAGCTGGGCACAGGCCTCTTCTCAGGCGAGGCCATCGTCGACGTGCAGGTTGCACCACGGTGTTTTTTGTTCACCGAAAAGCTCATGGTAAATTTCAATTTAAATTTAGTACATAAATTCCGAGAAACTCAGAGGTCCGAGCCCTGATTCGAATCCATGATCTCTGCTCGAGAAGCAGTTGGTCAAACCAATAGGCTGTCTCGGCTATTATATAGGATATAGGTGGTTTCCCACCGGCAAGGCCAGACGAGACGAGGTAAGACGAGAATTGTCACGCGCTGTGATTGTGGATAGTGAAGATTCAATGCTGTTCTGTTCATCTAGCGATAAATACGCGGTTCAAGTAACATGTCCCGCAAATTATTAATATTAAATTATGTTAACGGAAGAAGAATCAAATGAAACCACCTCTTTTTAAATCTGAAGTCGTACATCCCCAATCTCGCGATTAATAGCCATCGCGAGCTCGCGCGAGACCGAGCGGGCACTCGCGAGATCGCACAAGCTCGCGCGCGCAATCATGTTTCCGTTGCAGACTTATAATACTCTATGTAGGTAGCAATTCGTTTCAATATTACATCAACAAATATTTAAATTCTCGTCTCGCCCATCATCAATTCAGACCATTTCCACCGTTTCCAGATCTGCTAGGAGAGAATTGAAATTTTGTCATACAAATTTCAATCCTCATCTCGTCTGGTCTCGCCGGTGGAAAACCACCTTTACTCTAAAAAAATATTGAATTATGATAGTAATATTCGTACTGGCTACTGAAATACACGCAAATGTTTTGCTATATCCAGCACGTGTACTTTGAAAAAAAATTACTTCAACCATCGTTTGATTTCGATTAACTCTCTAGTATATATGGCCAGCCCAAGATATGGCTATGGCTACATTGGTTTTGATTATAGTGACCCTCCCTATAGACCGCTACGGTATACAGAAGGGCAATATAACCTGTGCGCGTACGGGTACCTATAAGCTCAGATTCTGACCCCAGATCAGCCAATGGAAAGGGTTGTCACAGACCTCTGTCACTTGCCTTCATCCAGTTCTTCGAGAGGCTAGTGCCTCGGGTGAGTCGCCCCGGGTGCACGTACAGTACCCTCCCTATTTTCCAGATAGGTATCGGAGCTGTAGGCACGCTCACTTCCCGTTGCGCATTGCACAACTAGCGGTTGCCACCGCTAAGCCGTCGACTCGAGTCCACTACCAAATCTCCTCATTGGTGGCGAAGCTGTTAGGTACGCTCACTTCCCGACGCCGAAAAACAACGTCTTTCCAGTTCCCAATAACCTAAGCTGGAGGGACTGGAGGACATCTAGCCCAATTATACCAAATTTCATCAGTATTGGTTCAGCGGTTTAGGTGTGAAAACGTAACAGACAGAGTTACTTTCGCATTTATAATTTAGAATAGTTTGGATGTAGTCATGTAGTGCCTTTTAACATAAACACAAAACATTTGCAACTCACATTTTATAGTGATTTTAGTTCTAAAAATGCGAAGTTCAAGTTTTACGACTCATTATACCAATCTAAAGTACCAAGGTTTGATTTATTCTTATTTCTTTTGAACCTTAAGTCTAACAAAGACGTTGTAAAACCCATGTCGCATTAGAGGTTTGCAGGAACATTTGTTTGTTCATAATAAGCTGCGTACAGGTCCGGCAACAGTGAGGAAGTAAAAGTTATTATATTTTGTAGACCTTGAACTTATAAGTGCCCTTTATAGCGTTATATCTATATGTCTCTGTTGCAACAGCTACTATTAGGTACAATTCTAAATAATATCATGTTTTAGTCAATCATTACGAACAGTATTGCTATGAAACATGGGAATACAAAGCATAATGCGGATTCCACTCGTAATACGGTATACCATGGTTCTTTTTGCATGCAGGCATCAGCGATCAGTGGCGACCACCCGCAACTGTTCTTATCCACCAATGGCGTTTGAAGGCTAAATCATATTTTCATTATAAACAAAGGATTTTTCCAAAAAATAAGGGACGGTGCTAGCTACAGTCTCTGTTTGTAAACAAAACTGTTTTGGGATCAGGAAAGCTTCGACTTTACTGATAGAAAACCATTACTCAATACATCTATTTAAAATTGTCAATCATATTAATATTGTCACAAAGGTGGAAGCTTCCTTTTCCAATGTTTGCTCAATTTCGCTTTTTCAAAATTACTTCCGCAGCACCAATTGGAATCTGCTCCAGTGTTGCTCGATTAGTATTCTAAGGAGCATATGGAAATCGGAGTAACGGACCTAAAACTTCTATCCCCGGGCCTGGCATCAAGTCCCATAACCGCCCGCCACCAGGTCGAGTGCGCTCGGTTCCACGCAATTAATCCGAAATAACGAACAGACCCGCAACACGACGCCTGCGCCTGCGCTGCGCCCGTGCTCCACTCCCAATTAGTATGTGAAATTCAAACTCATGTTTTTTGTGAACCCTTTTATGCAAGTTTTTTAATTCTAAAGAAGAACGAAAACTTCTTTTTAATCGTTTCAGTGTTAACATAAGTTCGTTTTTATGCATGTTATTATTTTACGTGCTTTTAATTCTTAAAATGTTTGAATCAACCACATAATTATACAATCGTTTACAACTATCGCGAGGCGTTAATGGACGTTGTCTTAATATTTATGTAGGTAATTTAAGTAAACGCGCGTTCGATGCTGCGCTAACGCAGGGTTTTTGTCAGCGAGTGTTGACAAAAGCGCTTTGAGATCATAGGTTTGCCATACTGTATACATATATAATATTTTAGTAGAAATGGGTACAGAAGACTTCATTTCGGATTTACTCTTAGACGAAGGCGAGAAATGTCCTACAATAAGTAATATAAGAAGTGGGGATTATTCGAATAAAAGTTTAAAGAAGAAGACGGCTTTGAAAGAACTTGTCTTAATATTCCATGAAGGCAATGACGACGATAAAATAAGAATATGTTGGGTAAGCAGGCATTTTATTATTAATTATTAATGGCTTTCAAGCACTAAAGCTCTGAAACTGTGGCAAAGCGCGCTCAACGCCGGAATAGCGCGAGCCATATGTACCTACGTTACACAAAAACCCAACGCGCGTAGAACGCGCGTCAAACGCTTGTCATGTGACCATACCCTTATTCTTTAGTAAGAAGTACGTTTTGTGTGTTCTGGTAAGTAGTCACACAGGCAAATTCGTATAAGGAATTCCTTAGGTAGACACCAAATTATTTATATCCTATAAAGTTTGCGAAAGTCAACCATAGATGTCTTCTCCTACGTAATAAATATGAACAATTTCCATATACTCACAACCCCCTTAGACCCAGAAAACTAAAAAAAAACTACAATGGGAAAAGCGCTAAACGCCCAATGCTCATTAAAACATACAAAATTTTGGAGCTCTTTTGCTAGTGAAAGGTTCGTCCAAGGAAACACTGCCACCTTACCTATTTCTGCCGCCAAGCACTACCGAGAGCATTACTGTGTTCCGGTTTTGAAGGGTAAGGGTGCTGGTAAAATTACAGGCACATGGGACTTGTCAACTTAAGTCTCAGGGTGACTGGCGCGGTGGCAGTACCCCTCAAACCTTTACGATATAAAGCCCCGAGTGGCACTGCAACTTGCCCGTCACTCGGTATCATAAAAAAATAACACTTCCGACCTAAGCAAGTAATCCCACAGTTTTGTAAAAAAAATATTATTAATATTTTGCTAAATACTCTGACGGTTCAATACTACTATGATGCTATTGTAATTATTTTAGATTTTTTCCTATTGGAATAGAGATCAATTGGAACAGACTTATTACTTAATAATTCCTTTTTGTTATATGACACCGAGTGACGAGACGAAGAAGTCGTGTGCCTGGTGGCAAGCGACACGCCTGTCCATAATAGTTGCAGTGCCACTCAGAGCTTTAAAATACAGAGCTCTGAGGGACACTCCCACTGCGCCCGTCACTGTGAGGCATAAGTTGATAAGTCCCATGAGCCTGTAATTTTACTAGCACCCTTACCCGCCCAAACTAGAACGCAGTAATGTTCACTACTGCTACTAATTTCAAATACATTCAAATGCATTCTTGTTTTAATATACGCCTAATTTAAATGTTTAGTTTCATGCATGGACTCATGCTCTTAGACTCCCATTGGGGTAGTCAGAGACTATGGATCGCCACTCAGCACGATCCTAAGACTTACATTCATCATTCTTTTCATACAGGCCCTCTGATTCATCTCACTACGCACCCCAGCCTTTTTAAAAACATTCTCAATTTGATCTGAGAATGTTCGTCGTGGCCGTCCTCTTTTCCAACGACGCCTTCCACGTTAGCTCTATATATTTCTCTCGTTAATCTACATTCATTCATCCGCTCTATGTGCCCATACCACGTCAGCATACCCTTTTCTATTTTTGTCACTACATTCTCTTTCAAACCACATCATTTACGGATCACAGTATTCTTCATTCTATCACATAACCGCATATTACATATTTTTCTGATAGGTCTTGGGAAGAGGAGGGATGTGTGTAATGTTTCCTGTATTATTATATTTCGTTCACGGCGTTCAATTAATTTGACTATATAATATTTAATACACACAACAACCTAACAACTTTTTTTTTTATTTGTTGATTATGAATTTGCCTTAACGATGGAGTAGGTAATACTAGATGAGACCTGCACGTCAGAAAATTAATAAAAGTATCCGAAGACTTGGTAAGGTTTGTCCAATAAGATCATTGAGTATGTCTTAAACCCTCTCCCAAGAATAAAGCTGTGCACATCAGTTAGAATATTAATAGCTTTAAATTACAAAGATCTGAAAGACTTTATCATTGCGCCTGTCACTCTGAGACATAAGTTGACAAGTCCCATGTGCCTGTAATTTCACCAGCTTCCTTACCCTTCACAACTGAAATACAGGAAATATGTAAATATGTAAGGTGGCAGTATTATATGTGCCAATAGATGATTTCTTTTGGTGATGATCTGGTGGTTTATGATGTAATTATACTTAGTACCTACTGCATACGAATGATAAGTTGTTAAATAAATTCTTTTGCCTATATTTATTTAAACAAAAATCTGTACGTTTGATTACAGTGTAAGGTATCCTTGTTTAATTTTTTATGAAATTATTTAGCATATTATACAGTGTATATCATGTTAAGTCGCAGGCATGTCTTCTTTTTTTTTAATTTATATTATGTTCCTATGGTAAAAAACCAAGATAAATGTAACACGTTAAAATGCCGTCGGTAAGCAGGTGATCAATTTAAATCCCATGTTTTCAACGTTTTTAAATCTTGTGTAGGTATGGTTTTTGTACTTAATAGTATATATATGCTTTTGTTTTTTCAATAATATACGGTTACATATTTAAATTTCAATCACATTTAATGTTATAAAAGAAGTTTGAATGTTTTTTAAAATAGTTTCAAAGTCGTTTTCATTTGTGTGCTCTGACTCTACATTATTCTTATTCCTTCCATAAATTGAAAAACCGTATTTTGTAATAAAACAATTAAAATTATTATAATATGTTGCCGAATTTCAATCCATTACTAGTATTAATATTTTAAAATATGGAATCTTTCCAGAAATTCTTTTATTTTAAATAATTAAAAGGAAATTACAAGTCAGACATTATGCCTATTATTTAATGTTGATATACAAAGAAAAACAACATTATCGTTTAATTTACTGCACTTTTCAAAATATTTTTAATTATTAAGTCATAAAATAGGAATACACCTAGGAAAGGTTATGTCCCTTCTGTCTGTTATTAGTTATTACTCACGTGGACCAATGGTCACAGTTAGAAACAGTATAAAAAAGTGAATTCATAAAATAATTAAATATTTCAAGAGTATAGTAGCGAAAAAACTGCAATTAAGGTTATTAGGCCTAAATTACCAGTGTGTGGCGGGGAGCGCGCGACGGGACTGCGAGGCTCGGCGGCACCGGCGCTGCGTGCCATGATCGCCGCGATAGAGAAGTCCGTGGCCCTTGTTTTGCCTTCCTCGGCCACCATCCTCTCGCCTCCAGCCACGGCCACAGCCCTCCAGCACTCCGCGCTTGCCACATCCATCAAACACTTCAGCTCGATCTCCCCGGATCTCGGTTCATCTCACCGAACGCGACCATATTTTATTCGTTTCGACATTGTCTCTATTAGTTTTATAAAAGTTTATGCTACTATAAACAAAATATTTAGTTGTAAATGTATTCGAGAACGCAAAATCACCGTAAAAACATTGCGTAAATGCAATTTTTAAAATCAATATAAATTAAAAAAACACAATCCAAAATAAGACCACTGAGTTTCTCGTGTTAAATCTCAAAACTAACCATGAACGCGTGTTAAAAGAAAAACAACGATGCGATAATGCACACGAACAAATGCATGTACGGCGGCTGAGCGCGAACTGAGCGCGCGGGCGAGACCAGCGACGCGCGGGGCGCGGGGCGGGGCGCGCAGGCGGGGCCGCCTCCCCGGCCGACCACTCGCTGCGCTACCCGCTGTCAACCCCCCTCCTTCCCCCGGCACACCCTGTCTCCCCTACATTCTGCCTTTCATATCGTTGATACCGTATTAATAAAAATAATATGATGACTATTTCACTCTGTATTGAATTAGCACAGTCCAAGACTACTACCACTAAATGAAAAATAAAAATAGCCACTAAAATTCATGGCAATACAAAAAAGAATTTTCCAAATATATTTTAACTAGGCTGTATGTGAGCATATTAATTAAAACATAAAATAATTCAGCTACATCCCGATGGTGTTACGACAAACTCGTGCGCAATACTTTATTGCGCCGCCCATAAAAACAGATCTCTAGATTAGAGTGAAAAGGCGTAGCGCGTAGCGATGCAGTTGAATGTGTAAGAGGGAGATAGATAATGCACGAGTTACAGCCGTCACAATGCGCGTCGAGTATCGGAAAATTATTGCAAATCACAACAAAAAATAATTACATTTCAGAATTAACTTCAGGTGTATTAAATCTGTCGTCGTGTATTAATTATATTATAATAAATGATATTTTTCCGGAGAAGACTAACATAATGCTGTCATTGTGTTTTACAACGTTAACTTTTTAAGGAATTTTGGTTTACCAAATATTTATTAATACAATTTAATTTCAAACAAAATTAGAAACAAGATCATTTCTTGTCTTGAAATAGGAAATATTTATTTTCTCTTTCATATTACCTATAATTAAAATAAATTCACCTATATTTGAAAAGAGTTTTCTATATTTGTTTCATCTACTTTTCTATAGTTATAATACTACACTAGAAAATGAGACTAAAAAGGTTGTAATATTATGAAAATTTTGTTTAATTTTTTTACGGTGATACTAAATGTTTAACGAAACTGTACTTTCAAAAAAAACCATGTTATTTTGCTAACTTGTCATTTTACCACATTTTCGATATTTTGTCGTTTTGCTACCAAGTCATTAGAAGTTATATAGTCTTTCTGCAGAGGTGGTCGTTTTGCGATCTAGTCCTTATGCGGATCAGGATAAGAATCACTATATGAACGTTTTGTTTGAAAAGATAATAAATTCAACCGTCTTTTGATTCCAAATAAATGTTCTAAAGTACCGGCACGCTATGATGGCCGTTTCGACGTTTGTCCTCTCATTAAGTTTCGTATTAATTCATAACTATGTTGAAGGAGCTTATTGACTTGATTAAGTACCTACATTGTTATTAATAGTGACGCAACTCGGCATTTGTATTTCGAAATTCAAAATTTAAAAAAATGATCGCGTAATATAAAATCGTCGCGTAAAGGATCGCTGTCCAGCACAACTTCTACCTCCGGCAAACTCGCGACGATTCGAATTGCCGATTTATTAAGTAAATATTTTTGTTTTCGTTTTATTAAAACTTTTTAATGAGCTACCCTTGCAATATTAGTTATAAATCTAAAAACTTAGAGATGTGACTCCCATTTGATTATATTTTTTTCGATAATGAATTGAGATTTGACCTCACTATTGATGGTAATATGTCAAAACGGACATCATAGCGTGCCTGTACCTGTAGAATATGTGATCAGTGTGGTTCACATGAATTAGTCGATACCTTTCATATTATGCTTAAATAGGAGAGTTAGAAAAAATTTCACTTACACATAATTTGTTTCATGTACTTCGTATTGCTTTAATTATCTTCATGTGATAAAAGCACTTTTGACGTATGAGTACCTAGTAGGTATAAATAAATTACAACCGAACCATCTTACTTTTAAAATGGATACTTAGAATTTTTTAATATTTTACCCATTAAGACACACAATTCGAGCCACCTTGCATTTATATTCTTGAAGGGCTACAATACAACAGCATTGTTATCACCAAAGAACAAGGTTTCCCCGGTCTTACAAATTTAAATTTAAATTTTCAACAAGGAGTTATGGAATAGGAATATAATAATAGCTTCAAAATTACATAGTAGTTTTTGATGAATTTAAGCTTATGACGTTTAATACTGATCCAAATACTTTATGGTTTCAGTGAATATATCGAGTTCTTTTGTTTTCGCGATTCTTACACATAGAACCATGTCAACCGTGACCATGGGACCTGTAAAGGGCCCGAAACGTTGGTTTATTTGAAAAAACAAATATACGCAATTTAAATCCGGAGAAGTGTTTCATTTCAGTGAATACATTTATAAAAACATGTAATTTTGATATCGCGTTGCTTAAAAATTTCAATACAATCGTCAACACAAACCCCGAAGTCAAACATATTTCAATAATATTTTAGGAGCTCTAGATTCTATTCATAAATAAAATAAGCAAAGTACCTAACGTGTGTATATGTATATACCCATGTTCATACCATTACTCCCCTATACTTGTTTGTTACACGTCATTTGACACAATGGGCTGACATACATAATGCGTTAATAATTTATATCTTTTAGTGAAATGAGAAAGCGCGTATTCAACGTAAACTTTCATACATTGCACATAAACTGAGATGTATTATCTGCTTCGCCGTCAACTGAGTGCACTTATCATTCAATCCTAGATGTAAAATATAATAATATGAGTGTGCTAGAGGAAAAAAAAACACTTAGGAAATTTTGTAATCGAATCTTGGCATTGACTCAAAATACACCATTTATAAACGGAATTACGGAACGTTCCTCAATCGTTATGTATGAAATTTGAAACTAGCTTGTAAAATACAATCGTGACGAAACTAAAGTTTTGAATTTCGATTTGTGACTTGATATAATTGAGGTCAAAGGTCACCTTTTTTTTAACTCATTGGGTTCGGCGACAAGAATTTCAACCCAAACTAATTTTACAAATTAAATAAAAAATTACATAAGGAAATACTTAAGTTTATTGTTTTTTGTCAATCCTGATTTTTACTCTGTTTCTTTTTTATATTTTTATTTTTTTGTTTCATGTTTTTTTAACTGTTTACTTTTTATGTATTTGCCTTCGTCGAATAAATGATTTTCTATTCTATTCTATTCTATTCTAAGTAACTAAAAAGTCTTACAAACCAAAAAGTAACCTAATTGAACTAAAAAAGGTTATGTCCATTATGTTAAACCTATAGGAAAAATGTGTATATAGGTATATTTATTTAGTGAGCATAAAACCATGCTATTTATTTCCTGTTTACTAGAAAAAATATTGAAATGTAAAAATTCGCAAACGTCAGTGTACAGTACTGTGAAAAAAATGAGAAACGTAAAACAATATGCAATGTACACACGCCAACACATCAAGCTACACGTTGACATATCTTGTTCCGTGGCAATGGAGGCGATTTTCGAACAAAAATGTGTAGTCTGATGTGCCGTTGTCCGACTATATCCCATTACACGAAAGAGTACGTACCACCAACGTACAGTTTCATATTTCGGCCACATGATGAGCTGAGGGGATGAAAGTTTGGAGAAACTTATTGAAAATACGGAAGAAACGGAAGGTGCACCAACAAGATGGACTGACCAAGTGAAATTTTCCTCCAAATTTCAGTCAATAAAAGTCATAGGGGACGCAGTGGACGTAAACAAATGAAGGCAGATCACCTGCCTCAAAAGTAGGCTCGAAGTTGACCACGATCCTCAGACATGAGGATATGCCTACAGAGAGGTATATATTTTTCTTTTTATTCAAATGTAAGTGTGCATTTGACCTCCATCTCACCTGATGGAAAGTGACGATGAGATCGACGATGTAGCATGCACACCTAAATAATGTCTATTCACTCTCGCCTTGAAAAGGTCCAAGTTATAACGTTCAGGGAACAAGTCTGCAGGCACGGAATTACACTCCATAGGCGTTCGCCATATAAATGTGGAACTGCGTAATGCGTCGTGCGAATCTTTTGAATATCCACAACATAGGGGTGGAATCCAAGCCTACGCCTAGTCCCCCGATGATGGAAAGGGGAAGGCGGAATTAAATCGTGTAATTCCATCGCACACTCTCCGTGATACATCCTGTAAAATACCGATAAGGAGGCAACTTTACGGCGGTGTTCAAGGCTTTGCAGCTTCGCCTCTACTAATTCCGAGTCACCTATAAGCCTCTTGGCACGCTTATCAATTGAACCCAAGGTAGCCAGTTGGTATGTAGCAGAGCCATCCCAAAGGTGGCAACAGTATTCCATAACACGACCGGACTTGTTTTTGGTACAACCAAAGCTACTGTCCTGGTCTGAAATAACACCTCACCCTGGAAAGAATGCCAAGCTTCCTGAGCATTTTTGGCCATGTATTCAATGTATCTGCCGAAGTTCAAATTGGACGACAGGTCCATTCCAAGCAGCTGGAGATGGTCGGCTATCGGTATGGATATATCACGAAAAGTCGGAGTCAGGTGAAAAGGATTCCGTTTTGTGGAGAATAGACACGCCTGCGTTTTGGTAGCATTAAATTTGACAAGATTAACATCGCCCCAATCGGAGACTGCCTTGTGTGTCAAATCCTAAGGACTAACCATAGACTCTCGACAAGATGGAATTTTCTCTCCACTGACCCTTGCATTGGTCAAGTAGCTATCTACAGCAGTGCTGTCATCACCATACGAATACGTACTTGGAATTAACATATCATTGATATGCAGCAGAAAGAGTGTTG